GTATCGCTGCCTCGCTCACCAGAGTGCGCTTGTCCACCTTCTCGTACGCACGCAGGGTCGCCCTCTCCATACTTGTGCCCTTGCTCAGCTACTCGCTCCATACCACCTCACCCCCCCACTTATGACATACCACTTCAATTCCCACCCACGGCATAACTTTCCACCCCACGCGCTCACCAGAGTGCGTTTGTCCACCTCCTCATATGCGCGCAGGATCGCCCTCTCCAGACTCGTGCCCTTCTGGTTCAGCAGGTCTTCACCTAGTACCCCATGCTATTCTTCAGGAATACCCCATCCCGTGCTCTTGAATTGCTGCCTCGCACTCACCAGAGTGCGCTTATCCACCTCCTCGTATGCACGCAGGGTCGCCCTCTCCAGACTCGTGCCCTTGCTCAGAGCGGCTGTGGGTGAGGGGGGTGTGCAGGTGCGCGGGTGGGAGGGCCATGAGGGCAGGGTCGATGAGGATGAGGATAGGGAGCATGGCATGGAGGCGAGTTTTGAGGCGGCTCAAAATACGACTTCTGACGACTTCTGAGGCGCCTCAAAAGAGGACTTCTGAGGCGCCTCAAAAGAGGACTTCTGAGGCGCCTCAAAAGAGGACTTCTGAGGCGCCTCAAAAGAGGACTTCTGAGGCGCCTCAAAAGAGGACTTCTGAGGCGCCTCAAAAAAGGACTTCTGAGGCGCCTCAAAAGTGGACTTCTGAGGCGCCTCAAAAGAGGACTTCTGAGGCGCCTCAAAAGAGGACTTCTGAGGCGCCTCAAAAGAGGACTTCTGAGGCGCCTCAAAAGAGGACTTCTGAGGCGCCTCAAAAGAGGACTTCTGAGGCGCCTCAAAAGAGGACTTCTGAGGCTCCTCAAAAGAGGACTTCTGAGGCGCCTCAAAAGAGGACTTCTGAGGCGCCTCAAAAGAGGACTTCTGAGGCGCCTCAAAAGAGGACTTCTGAGGCGCCTCAAAAGAGGACTTCTGAGGCGCCTCAAAAGAGGACTTGTGAGGCGCCTCAAAAGAGGACTTCTGAGGCGCCTCAAAAGAGGACTTCTGAGGCGCCTCAAAAGGTGCGCAAGTGGGGGCACATGGGGGTAGGGTCGATGAGGATGAGGATAGGGAGCATGGCACGGAGGCGAGAAGGGCGGAACGGAGGAATGGGTGGATGGGAGGGAGCATGAGGAGAGGAGTGATGCAGGTGGGAAGTGGGGTGCGAAAATTGGGCGTGCAGGACAGGCGACGCCAGGGAGGGAGAGGTGTGAGGAACATGCACTAATCACAATGTAGCAGTTGAGAGACACATGGGAACGGGAATGCGCTTATTAGAGTATGGCAGGCAATGGGGAGATGTGGAAATGGGACGGAGCGCATTGGATGAATTGGATAGGTGAGTTAAAAAAGAAGGGAGCAGGGAAGTAGGTAAAACTGCACTGAAGCAAGGAAGCATGGCACTCACTCTTAATGGCTTTCTTGTATGCGGGCCGTTTTTGAGACGTCGGGAAACAACTCTTTTATCAGGCGGCACTCACTCTCAATGGCTTTCTTGTATGCGGGCCACAGCTCCTTCTCCAGGAAGTATCACGTGCGCATGTCGCGCAGAGACGCACGAGTTGCGCAGCATGTAAGCAAGCAAGCACGGCACGGCACGGCACGGCACGACACGACATGGTGCGGCACGGTGCGGCACGGCACGGCACGGCACGGTGCGGCACTCACTCTCAATGGCTTTCTTGTATGCAGGCCACAGCTCCTTCTCCAGGAACCTGGTGTAAGGGCATGTAGGAGAGAGACACAGACAGACAGACAGGCCAAGTGAGTGGAGAGAGAGACAGACAGGCTAAGTGAGTGGAGAGAGAGACAGACAGGAGAGTGCCAGTCCAGCCAAACTCAGACAACTGCCTGTCAAGTCAAACACTCATGGACACCCAGGAAGTTGTTTCTGCACCGTGCAGTTGCAACATCCCAACACGCTGAGTGAGCAACCAATTCAATTCGAACCCACCTCAGCAATCGAACTCCCATGTATACCCACTCACTCTGCCTCCGCCGGAATAGTGCCTGTGGCCCCACCCCACACACAGCCAACCTCCCAGCCCCCACTCACTCGGCGACAGCGGTCCTCCCATGGCCGTCCAACACGGCGAAGAAGGAAGGGCGCTTCTCCATGCGTGCGTGCGTGCGCTACCAACCCCGGTGATGCCCCACACATGCACACCCTCCCACCATCCACCCTCGCACTCACTCGGCGACAGCAGCGCCCCCATGGCCGTCAAACACGGCGAAGAAGGAAGGGCGCTTCTCCCCCTCCACCACCGCCGCCACTCTGTCCTCCATCACTGGTCTCGCCGAACCCTTCACCTTGTGGGCGCCGTAGCTGGGAGGGTAGAAAGGGGGAGACAAGGCAAGGAGGTGAAGAGGGGGAGAAAAGAAGGATCATTTAGGGTAATAGGGTGCCACCCTCTCTGCCCTCCATCACTGGCCTCTCCGACCCCTTCACCTTGTGCACGCCGTAGCTGGGAGGGGAGGGAGAGAGGGAGGGGAGGAGCATGCAGGGTGCATTCAGGGTTGGGGTGCCACCGCCACCCTCTCTGTCCTCCATCACTGGCCGGTCTAACCTTTTCACCTTGTGCGCGCCGTAGCTGGGGGGAGGCAAGGCAATGCGAGAGAGGAGGGGAGTGGAGAATGAAGACTTAGGACATTCGGATGCCACCCTGTCCGTCGTCCATCGCAGGCCAGGCACCCCATGGAGTGCGCACAGGAGTGCGCACAAGGACAGGGACCCATGGGAATGGGCCAGGATGCATTGAGGGAACAAGTGTGTGTCACGCGGTGCTGTCCCTCCATGCCTGTCTTCCCGCCCCCCGCCTCTTCTCATGCCAGAGAAGAGAACGCGCTAGACCATCCTCTGTTCAGTTCGTTCTCACGCCTCCCAGACCGTTGCCTCTCCCATTGATCCCTCCCTCATCAACCATTGTGTCTCCGTTTCTCCATCCCTCCCCATAACCTATCCTTCACTTCTCCTTAACGCGATTCTCTCCTTCGCATTAGACCTGTCTCCCTCTCTTCCCCACGGCTCACCTCTTTCCCTTCACCAGCGCAGCTTGTGGTGCCACGTGGCGGAGAGATGACCCCTCCACGGCAGCGGGCCTCGCTGACATGGCATTGGCGCGCAGTGCTGCTGCTGCAGACGTGGAAAGGGAAAAGAGTGCAACAAATGATTGAACCGGTTATTACTGCACAGGGGACGGAGCGGAAAGCGAAGGCAACACGCGCAATGGTCAAGGCGGAGACAGTTTGGAATTGTGGGCTTTCAGGGGCGAGGTGGGGGACGACTTTTGAGTCGACTCAAAAGTCAACGCGCTATGGTCAAGGCGGAGACAATTCTTTCAGACGAGGGCGGTTCCTTTCAGAGACGAGGTGTGTAACGCCTGTGGGGCTTACACGTAAGGGTATGAGTGCATCCGCTGCGCCTCAAATATAACCCTCGTTTTGACCCAGTGGGTAGCGAGGTGTTACAAGGTGGGGGGCAATGGTGGAAGGGAGTCACTTTTGAGAATTCTCAAATCGCGTCAGTGAAGTGCAGTGGGTTTGTACGAGACGAGGTAAGCTGCTCCAATTGAATGCGAAGCGCGATCGCGCCATGCCGTGCGATCAGGTAAATGTCCGGCCATGATGCCTCGTGAGTGCGTCGGTGTCTCGCTGTGATGCCTTGTGATTGCGGTCAATGCGTACGCGTCACAGCGACGAGCCGCTCGATTTCACGCCGTCACACGTGACACACGTGTGCTCGCAGGTACGCGGCAACGGCAATTCAATGTTGTGTTTGAGAATTCTCAGAAATTCAATGTTGTGATGGTCCGCGCAACCGCACCCGAGTTCGCAGCCACCACGACACGAGATGATTCGCGAACCGGCGAAAAGGTCGGTACTAGTGATTGGATATCCGCGCTACGATCGGTACACGCAACAATGCCGCCGCGGCGCGAGAATTTGCCGCTCGCGATGTGCTCACCGTATTGGTCGCCAGTGAACAGCGATGGGCTCACCTGATTGGCCGCCGGTGAACGCGCATGACGAGAGGAACGGCGCGGCGGTCTGCCGTTGAGGCAGCTGCAAGGCGACAAAATGAACCACGGGGAACGCGGGTAGAGGAGATCAATGTGTGAGAGAGCGTGTAGTTAGGGATGCACATTGTGCTGGATTCTGACGACTGGGATAAAAGCAATCGTATGAACAAGACACGCGGCAAAGGACGAAAAATGTGGGCGTAGGAAAAGGGTACGTTGGGAAGGGGCTTACTGCGAGGCGAGATTGATGGCCAGCCAGGGAGCTGCCGGCAGCAACAGAGGAAGCAGTAGCGGCAGCCATGGCGGCGTGGCGACCCTGGTAGCGCACAAAGGAATGCAGAGTGACGGAGTGAATGATGGAAGGGATGCTTTGCGATAATTCAAGGGTTGCGAGCAACGGACTAGTGTGACGAGAGACGAGACGACCTGTGGATGTCATTTCGTACCGATCATTGAGGGTGACAGGATTTTACCAGGGATATATTCTCGAGCACTTTCTAATCTCTTTCAATTTACCTCTTTTGAATGTTCTCCTTCTACATGTTTTGTGTGCTTAGACCCTTCACCCCTAGCGCCTAGCAGGATCCCCTTGATTCAGGTTCATGCGCCGTCGTGTCTGTCACACTTTGTGAAAAAGCTACTCATATTGATATGCAATTGCAGTGTGGGAAGTCCTGAGGCCGTCTGCTGAAACATGGGGAACATTCTTGTGGTACCCTACCTGGTCAAATTCTAGCACAGAAACAACCACCCTCACCAACCAAGCCAGTTTTGGGCTTCAGAAAAATTTGTGAAGCTGACACGTGTTATAATTCTCAGAACAGTTGGAAAACCATGCCACATCGGCCCAAATATTCGTGCGTGGTCAGCGATGACCCACCTTGGCAAGGGAAGCCTGCGATAGAGACATGTATACTCTACATTGAAGAGCTTCGATAAAGTTTATAACAGATGATAGTATTCGCTCATAATAACACCATATACAGCATCGCCTTCTTCGTCTTTCACCTTCATTACCCCCCTCTTTCGACCCCCTCCCCCGCGCACTTCTTCCCCCCAGGCCATCCGCATCCTACCTCTGTCGCCCCCTTTTCCCGCATTCCACCTCACAAGCTGCACAACCCTCCCACAAGATTTCACCCCGCCATCCGTCCTTTCTGCCCGTTCCGCCGATCCCGCCGTCACATCCGCCATTCGGTCCGCTTTTCTACCCACCCCCGCTCTTTTAAGCCTCCGCATCCGTCGTGCCACCTGTCGATCCGCCCGCCGACCATCAAAATGCAGCGCGCACCAGCAGCCGCCTACTCGCTCGTCAGATCCGCCGTCCTCAACCACGTGCGGTTACCCGTGGCGCCCTCCTTCTGGTCGCGCGTCGGCAACGCGCCGTCCGGCGGAGCCCGGAGCCGCGGATTCGCGGAATCGGCCGGCACTTACCTCGACAAGGACGCGGTCACGGAGCGCGTGCTGAACGTAGTTAAGAAGTTCCAGAAGGTGGATCCGAAGCTGGTAAGATCGCGATGAACCGTGGCGTCTAGTTGGACACGGCGACGAGTGATTAGGGTTGTCGTGATTCCCGTAGCTGTCCGTTTTCGAATATGAGGATGCGCGCGGCGTCGAATCAATCAAGGAAAGCTGCGCGCACGGGTCGACGGTGCGACTTCGCTGGTTCCTGGTTCAGCCTCGTGTCTTGGTGCTGTTACATGGAACTTTTGCAGCGGGAACAGTGGTGGCGCTAAGAAAGCGGAGTGGGCGAGAGTGGACGTGAGGTGTCATTGAGTGGTTAACCTGTTCTTCCTTCCATTCCTCCCTCGCTGTCTCCCTCCTCTGCCTCCGCTTCTCCATTCTATCCTTTATTCCCCCTCCGCACGTCATGCTGCTGCTCCAGCACCTCCCAGCCTCGCCCCTTTGCGTCCCACCTACCCGCGGCCGTCCTTGCCCCTCTGCGCGGTGACTGCAAACGAGAGTGGAAGATTGGAAGATCGCTTTATTATTATCTGGTCATGGCGCAGCACGTGTGGTGGTGTTGCTCTGTGTGGCGCACTTTGTTTTTCTGTTATGCATGACATCACTTTCTGATCATATAATCTGTTTCTGGTCATGAAAGATCACATCACATCACTCCACACTGCACCGCACCGCACCACACCGTTTTTCCGTTCAGCATATCGCACATCCCCTTCATTCTCCACTGGAGTTCCAAGCTCAGAGTTCAAATGCTTCGTCAAATAGGAAGAGACATCTCTTTTGGAGGCTGCAATCGCGACCACCACATCACAATGATCCTCGCACTTGAGACTCCCGATGCTCATCTCTCCTACACCCGTCTGCTCCTCTCATGGTCTTTTTTGTGATTGCCCATGTTCGTCCCATCGTCATCCCCATATTCCATGCTTTTCCCATGGGCATGCCATGCAGGTGGCCCCTGTGGTGCACTCGCAGAAGAGCCTGGTCTGGTCGGCAGACTGGGTGAAGGTGCTGGTAACCTTCCTGCCCGCTTCCCCCCGCTCGATCCTCGTGCAACTGTGTGTTCGTGCAGGTCGACCCAGCGCCCACTTTCTGAATGGCCTGGGGCTGGACTCACTAGATGGGGTGACGATGGTGATGCAATAATCTCACTCCTGCCCCCTTTCCCGCCTCATGCGCTGTGTAACTGTACTGACACCCCATGCAGGTGACCCCCACGGCGAGCTTCCAGAAGGACCTGGGGCTGGACTCGCTAGACGGGGTGGAGGTGGTGATGGCGTTTGAGGAGGAATTTGCCGTCGAGATTCCCGATGCCGATGCCGATAAAATCCTCTCCTGCGCTGATGCCATTAATTACATCGCCTCTCACCCACAGGCCAAGTGATGCATGTGATAGGATGTGCGTGGTGGCCCCGTGGTACAGTGCTAGAGCAGGGCACCCCTTGATTAATTAGGTCTGTCTGTTCTTTGTTGTAATGTGGTTGAAGAAGCAGCTTGCCTGTACCACCTGGCTATATGCGTACAAATAGCCGACGGCGTTTGATTGTTTCTGTTGATGATAAGAGTATCTTTCCTCATTCTTTATGCATTTTTATTTGCTCATTGGCTATGTCAGGTCGTTGACCAGATTGGGTTTTTATAGATTTAACGGCAGCATATATGCAGGTGTAAACAACAAGTGTGTTATAATTCGTGTCGGAAACACCCATCCCATTCCGTCCAGCAAATCAGGTCAGAGTTGGTCAACGCCCGCGATACCCCCAGGTTTGGTGCTTGATGGTCTCAAAAGGTTCAGGACGACACGTCAGATCCTCTCTGCCCTCGCTTCAAAGATCTGACGTGTGCCAACATTGGTGGCAGTGAAAGAGCCACGCAGCTGGCCTCAGTCTCAGGAACCATCAGGCACCGACGCGGAACATCCACCGTGGTGCCTCGATTAGGCAGCCACGTCTCGCGATGAATTTTCGCTGGTTTTCTGGAGCCCAGCTCCCATCCCCTTGGGCAGTCAATTTCATGACGCGGCTCGTAAAACAAATAAATTCACGCGCCACCTTCCCACTCTCATCAAACACCTTCGCTGAGCCCCATTCTTCGATTCCAGATTTTCCTCGCCGCCGACAAAAGCTCAAGTTACCTCACTCTCCATTTACAATGGCTTCCTCCCTCGTCGCCCAACAATCCCTCGCCGCTCTTTCCTTCAGCACAGCATTGAAGGGCGCTTCTCTCTCTGCCAATCGCCTAGCAGTAGGTCCCATCGCCGCTCCCCGCGGACTCGGTGTCACCGCCCTACTCGGCTTCAACAAGGCCGCCGTCTTCGCTAAGACCACCCCCGTTAAGAAGCAACTGCGCACCGAGGATGGCATCTTCGGAACGTCCGGAGGTTTTGGCTTCACGAAAGCAAACGAGCTCTTCGTGGGGCGCGTGGCGATGCTCGGATTCGCGGCGTCGCTGCTGGGCGAAGCGGTAACCGGGCAGGGAATTCTTTCGCAACTGAACCTGGAGACGGGCATCCCCATCACGGAAGCCGAGCCGCTGCTGCTCTTCTTCATCGCATTCACCGTGCTCGGCGCAATCGGCGGGCTGGGCGACCGCGGGCGATTCGTGGACGACGACGCGCCCGCGGGTCCGCCGGTGAAGCCGGGGAGTTTCAAGGCGGCGCTGGGATTGAGCGAGGAGGGGCCGCTGTTCGGGTTTACCAAGGCGAACGAGCTGTTCGTGGGGCGCATGGCGCAATTAGGGTTTGCGGCGAGTCTCGTGGGCGAGGTGATTACCGGGCGAGGCGCGCTTGCGCAGCTTAATATCGAGACTGGTGTGCCCGTGTGGGAGCTCGAGCCGCTGCTGCTCGCCAGTATCGCCTTCTTCTTCGTCGCCGCTATCAACCCTGGTACAGGGAAGTTCATTAACGATGACGAGTAGGGCTGCTCGTGGCATCTGTAAATAAATACCGCAAGGCTATGATTTTTCTCAAGTATACAAAGTTCTTGAGTCAAAAACAAAAAAAAATATTTGCTCATCGACACACTGACTACCTGAGGGTCTTGTACGTGCGCAGCCTTTAGTCTAGACTATGAAGACTATTTAGAGTCTTAGTAGTATGCATAAATAGCATAAATAGTCTTAGTCTTTGAGTAGCGTTGGTCTCAAATGACTAAGTGAGAATTTGTTGATGTAGCAATTGAACTTCACTAGGAAAATAGAATATATATAACACACAAGCAAACACAAACATATATAGGCAGGCGAGAGATGCACAAATGTTGCGAGGGCGCTGCGAGTAACCCAACCCACACGAAAGTGGTGTGTGGGTGAGCGAACGCGCCTCGCCACCTTCCCAACCCAACACAGTAGCGCAAACCACTTCCGTGCACGCCACTCCAGCCAACACTGCAAGGAGTGGCGTGACTCTCAAAGAAGCACGCCCAACTCCCAAAGACCCACGCCATCCTGCACTGACTCCGCCGAGTTTGCTGCGGTAGCTCGCTGTCACCCACAGTCACTAGTGACTGCCACCGCACTCATGCGTCGGTGCCGAGTAGACTCAGTCGTTAGGCGCTGACCTGCCAAGTCAAAGGTCATCGAGGGCCCTTGCTGTCGTAGGGCCCTCTAACAGTGGTTAGCTAACCACCTTCAACAATCTCCCCTGTGGTTTGCTAACCACCAGCTTGTTTCACTTTGAACCACCTCTAGGCCTGCTCCACACTCCCCTGCAATTCAGCCAAGGTACGCATCCCAACCTCTCTCTTGCAACGCTCAAAATTTGCCCTTGGTAACACCTTAGTCAGAAAATCTGCTGCTTGTGCCTCCGTACGTACGAATTCAAACTTGAACTCCTTGCTACTCACCTTTGAACGCACCCAATGATACTTCACATCCATATGCTTGGTCCTCCCGTGCCAATTGTCGTTGTGAGCCAAGTCGATGGCAGATTTGCTATCCGTGCGTATCACCGTCGGCCCTTTCACCTTGATTTCCATCTCCTTGAGTAGCCGTCTCAGCCAAACCCCCTCTTGGCATGCGTAAAACAGAGCCATGTACTCCGCTTCCGCACTAGAGAGCGCTATGTCAGCCAACCTTTTCGCTTGCCACATGATTGCTGTCCCGCCGAGCAGAAACACGTAACCGTATGCTCCCTTCCTTGTTTTCTTGTCGGATGCATGTGAAGCATCCGCATACCCCACTAACTCCAAGGTCTCTTCACCTCCTTCGAATAACAGCCCCTCATCTTCATGTTGCAGTAGGTAGTCGATAGTCCTCCTCATCTCTCTCCATTTTCTCTCCCCTTGCTGCTGCACTTGTTGCCCAAGATAGCAAGCTGCGTATGCCATGTCGACGCGCGTGCATGAGACCGGATACATGATAGACCCCACCATGGACTGGTATACTTGCAGAGCTCTCTCCTTGTTGCCCCATTGGTTGACATCCTCCTCCCGTTCACTGTCGTTTTCAGCTACCCCACTCAATGGTGTAGAAATTACCTTCGTGTAGCCGTTGCCAAACCTCTGCTGCACCCTGCTGCAATATTTCTGCTGGTATAGGAACATCTTCTTCTCCTCCTTACGCCGCTCCAGATTCATGCCGAGAAAGAGTGTGGTCCTCGGAATCTGCTTGACTTGAAAAACTTCCGCAAGGTGAGTGCACACCTTCTCTACCTCCTCCTCTAACGCCCCTGCCACCAAGATGTCGTCCACGTATAGCACCAAAAACACCTTCTCCTTGCCTTCTCTCTTCCAGTAGAATGCCCTATCACACTCGCTTTTCTGAAATCCCCCTTGCAGTAGCCGCTCATCCATCGCCATGTACCACTCCCTAGGACTTTGCTTCAGCCCATATAATGCCTTGTTTAGCTTGCATTTTCTGCCCGAGCCGTCATCATGCCCTGGTGGTTGTTCGAGGTAGATGTCCTCCTTGAGCACCCCATACAAAAAAAAAACATTTTTGATGTCCAGCTGCACCATGAAGTATTTCCTTGCTGCGACCACCTTGAGAAAGACCCGTGCCGTTGCCAACTTGCTCACTGGAGCGTAGATCTCATTTTGTTGGTAATCTTTCCCCTCCACCTGAGTGTAGCCCTTGGCTACAAGCCTTGCTTTGAACCTTTCCAGCTGCCCCATATCTCCGGTCTTGATTTTAAAAATCCACTTCACTCGCACAGCTTTCCTCCCTTCCGGCATAGGTACTAGTTCCCATGTGCCCTTTTCAGCCAGGGTATTCAACTCCTCCTCAATTGCCGCTTTCCACTGCTCCCTTTCTGGACCCTCTAGCGCCTCCTCAATGCTCACTGGTTCTTTGGGCAGGTTGTGAGTCGCTTTCCCTTCGTTGGAGACTAGGTCAGTAGCTGTGGCAGAGAGTAGGAAGTGGATATGGATGTCCTTCCAACACGTCATCAGCAGTTGCGCATACCGAGGGTTTGGTTTCTTCACCCTCTTTCCTTTCCCCAACTCCTCTGCAGGTGATTCAACCTCTTCCTCACTGGAATCCGCCAATGCTTTCTCTTCTCCATCCTTCACTTCCCTTCCAATCATGATGGCGCCCTCCTCAAGTAAGTCCTCTATCTCCTTCTCTGCTGCCTGGTTGTCACCACTCACTAGGAGCTTCCAGGGATCGCTATTTCCTTCAGCTGCTGATTCTTCATATTGCTCTTCTCCAGCCACTTCATCAATGCCATCTTCAGCTACTTCCTGATGCCATCTTCATCTTGGGCAGGTACCAAGATTGATGCCCCATTGAGTCCTTGGCAGCAACTTATGATCCGGACCAGCAGGCTCCCTGTATTGTACCATACTCCCCCACACCCGTGCAAGCCCCAGATTCGGCTTCCTCCCATAGAATGCCTCATGGGGGGTCATATCCGCCCGAAGTCCCTTGGTAGGTAGGCGGTTCTTGGACCAGCAAGCCATTGCCAATCCATCACCCCAAAAGTTCAGTGGCAGCCCACTGTCGGCCAGCATGCTCCTCACACTATCCAGTAGAGAACGATTCACCCTCTCCGCTATGCTATTATGCTGTGGAGTGTAGGGTACAGTCAGCTGCCGTCGGATGCCCTTGCTCTGTAAAAACTTGTTGAACAGGTCCCCGGTAAACTCCCCACCATTATCTGTCCTCAAAACTTTCAGCACCTTCCCACTTTGTCGCTCCGCTTCCGCCATCCAAGTCACGAAGCTAGGAAACACCTCTGCCTTATCTTTCAGCTCCATCCCCCATGTGTGCCTTGTCCCCAAATCAGTGAAGGTAACGAAGTAGCGGCTGCCGTGTCGTGATGCCACCCTCATAGGCCCACACACATCGGCTGCTACGATGTCCAAGGTGCCATAAGGCTCCTGCACCTGGTGGTGGGGGTGTGGGGATTTTGTGATTTTACCTTCAACACACTTGCTGCATTTTCCCTTGCTTCCAGCCCCCTCCTTCAAAGCCACTCCTTTTACCATGCCCTTTTTAACCAACTCCTTGATCCTATCCATGCTTGCATGCCCCATGCGCCTGTGCAAGGTCTCCAATTCAACCTTCTCCACCCCAACCACCATGGCTGAAGCTTCCTGCTGCAGCTCCTTCACAGGTAAGCCACCAAGCCGAGCCTTCAACTCCTCCCTAGCTAGGTCCCCTTCGAGTGGAGTCATGTAGGTGGCATTCTCTGCTTCCAGCCCCTTCTTCCTCAGCTTCATTTCATACAATCCCTGATTTCTGTTCCCTTCTGCAACCACCTTCCAATCCTCATCAAAGACCCACAGCTTCCCCTTGTCGCTGAAGGTTTTGCACCCCGTGCTGTCAAGTTGTGACTGGCTGATCAGATTCAGTGAGAGCTTCTCCACTAAGAGCACATTTTCCAGTTTCAGCTCCCCGTACTCTCCCTGGAGCAGCAACTCTCCTTCTCCCTTCACACTTAGCTTTCCTTCATCACCCAACAGCACATAGGGTACGTTGGAGTCCCTCAGATTTGTAAGCCATTCACGGTGATTGGTCATATGCTGCGTGCAGCCACTATCCATGAACCACGCAGCTTCACCAAACCCTTTAGCCATCAAACACACTCCCGATGCCCTAGCCACGTTTGCCTTGTGAGCTCCTCCCAAAATGACGTCCGCTTCACTGTTTTCAGCTTCCACTGCATTTGCTTTTGCTGCTGCTGGTTTGCCCCTCGGTAGTTCCTGCTGTTGGGGTTCGAGTAGCAGTTGGCTGCCCTATGCCCAATTTTCTGACAAAAGTGACATGCTCCTGAAAATCCGCCTCTCTGCACCTTGTTATCGCCTCGAAACTCCCCCTCTTTCTGCTGCCCTCCATTCTGCAGGCCCCTTTGCTGCTGACTGCTCCACTTCCCCTTAAAATTTCTGCTCCTCGGGTTGTCATAGCAGTCTATCTGCTTATGACCCTTCTTCCCACACTGAAAACGCCCCGAAACCTCCGTATCCTTTCCCTGTCGCTGCTGCGTTTACCATAGCATGGGTGGCTGGTCCCATTCCGTTCAAGCTAATCTCCTTCCTGAGCCGATCAGCTTTCACCCGCTCCAGAGCTTGGAGCGTCTCTAACAGCTTGGTCATATTCGAGGGTGGGTTGCAGGTTAGGAGCCCTATCTCTGCTTCCCACTCCTTGGGCAGCCCAGTAATGATGTACCCCATCATTTCTCCTTCAGTTTCAGCTGCCCCCATAGCCTTGAGGTCGTCATTGTACCTCTTCGCTCGATTCATGTAGTCAATGACCCTCTCCCCTGGCTCCATACTCAATAGAAGGAGTTTCTTCCGAATGGCTGCTTTGTTCGTATCCGTAAGCCCAAGGTAAGCCGCTTCCATGTACTCCCAGGCTCGTTCGGCAGAGTTCTCCTCTCCCGCAAATTGATCCAGCCCCACTGCAATGCTGTCCGAAACAGAATGGCACAATTGGAAAAAAGCTTCCTTACTCCTTTTTTTGAACGACGCATTTTCCTCTGGTTTTTCTTTTGCAGATGGTGGGACGCCCTCTCCCGTCTCCTTGTCGGGATGATAGTACGGCCAGAGATCCACTTCCTCCGCTCTACGAATGAACTTGAGTCGCCACGTGCTATAACTTTCTCCATGGAACCGTTGGGCCTCGCTAAGCCCAATCGTTGGCTTCGCCGTCAATTTAGCTTGTGCTAGCGCCGCTAGGATGGCCTGTAGTTCTGAGCCTCCAATGCTCACAGAGGAGCCCGAACTCGCCTCTGTATGATCGCCCGTCATACTTAGAAAATTCCGCCTATCCTTAAAACGCTAGACCAGGGCTCTTGCTAACTTTTTGGCCAGTCTGACATGTTTCTAAAAAAAAAAAATTCGTCTTGCCCTCATATGGCGGCTTCCAGGGTGGTCTTAGCCTCAGACGGATTGTTTTATTTCGAATGACTGCTCAGACTAATTTTCTAAAAAACAGAGGTCTACACCACAAAATGCCTAATGTCTACTACCAACTACACACAATCAGTCTACATTCATTCATAATGATCTAGGATTCGCTATCACTACCAGTAGAGTAACCTTCCTCGTCGTCGTCGTCCCCGTCTAGCTCTGAATCCGAAGTCATGTGCACTTTGACGTGGCCAGCCCGTCTCTGCCAGGGGCCCAACTCCTCCTCTAGCCTGGCTGCTTCTTCTGCAGCTGCTGCTTCACGAGCAGCAGCATCTGCTGCTGCTGCTGCTGCTGCTGTTGCTGCCGCCTGCTTCGCGGCCAGCATCGCAAGGGTCTTCTTCGTGCGCTTCACGGGCCTCTGCGCATGCGCCATCACCACATCCTTGGCTGGACGCCTCTTCTTCGCGCCTCTCCAAAGCTCTACAAGCGCGGGCCAGTTTGGTTCGTACTTCAGCATGGAGACGGTCATCAGGTCGCCCAGCTTCGCGTCGTTCAGATTGCCGCGTAGCCAGCTCTTGATGATGTTCTGGCGGGAGAAGCCCCGCTCGCACTCCACGGTGCTCAGGGGCAGCACTACGACCGCCATCCAAAGGCGGACCAGGTTGGGGTAGGCCGTGCACCAGTCGGGGGAGCTGAGCATCTGCTTCAGGCCGTCCTGGAAGCTCTGCTCCTGCTGATGGGTCGACATGATCGTGGTGAAACTGCTGAGCTCCTTCTGTGCCCTCGTCCAGTTGACTCCTGGTGGCGGGGTGCGAATCAGAAGCACGTGTACTGTTATACGCGCTGGTATTCATAAGTCATCAAGCTATAAGAAATCAACGGGGCAATGGCGACAGAAACGTCATATCCGCCACAATCAGGCACAAGCGAAATCAAAGACGTACCTGGCAGAGTGTCAGGGTCTTCCGGTCTCCGCTTAAACAGATTGCGGAGAGCCTCCAGCCACTGTAAAAACCGCCGCTGCCGCTTCGAGTGAGATTTCGGGTACGCCCCCTGCGTGAACAGCTTGGCGCCCTCCAGAGAGCCCAAGTCTTTCATCCGGCTCTCCACACGCTTCAGCAGCTCCTTCACATACCCCTTCGCCAGTGTGATGCAGTCGTCCATGCCCCCGCCAGATTTCTGTCCTTTGATCTTCTCCTCGTGAAGGGTGTACTCATGCGTGGTTGACGCCCCAGTCGAGTCGGTGCCCGTCACCTTCACCACCCTCTTCTCCGAGGACGCATGCTTCGCCAAGAAGGAGCTCAGCTCGTTGCTCCCATCTCCGAAGTCGTCCGCGTCACTCAGGTAACGGTTGCGGAGCGTGAGCCTGGTGTTGTCCACCATCTGCAGCACGTGTGTCACGTCGACCTGCCACACACATGAGAGGCAGTGGAAAGGCACGCACGGGTGAGTGTCATAGACAGTCGGTTCAACAACACAAAGTCGGTGCCCGTCACAGCAACAAGCATAGCAACGTACCTGCCGTCGTTGGAATTTGAGGTTGAATGCGTCGAGCTCTTTCAACACATCAGCCAGGAAAAACAGCAGGAAGTGGAATTTAAAGCTGGTTACGAGGAGGTAGGCCGTCGGGTCGTTCTCGTACAGCAGAATGACAGCCGCTGGAAGGTTGTCCGCCAGACGCTGAACCGCCAGACCACGTGAAAGCCACCTGACGCTGTGGATGCCCTGCAGCTCCAGGTTTGTTTGGCAGAGCACCTCCTGCAGCTCTTTGAAGCGTAGGTGGAAGTTGCCCGACCGTCCAAGCTGCTCTGCCAAGGAGCGTACGACATTGTCGACGAGGTCAAGGTCGGGGTAGGCCTCAGCGGCATCCTTTGCCGCCAAAGCTTCCCTGACACAACACGGGAAAAACGATAAGTTAGATAAACAGGCAACGATTGGTACAAATAACAGAAGTCGGGTTACAAACATGTGCGCGACGCAGTGGAACCCGGCGAGGTGTGGAATCCGTGTTCGAAGGCGCGCCACCAGGCCTGTCTGAGAACCGACCATGACGCTTGCACCGTCGGTGCTGATGCCGCTGATGCGTTCAAGCTCGAGGCCGGTGGACTCCAAGTGGGTTAGAAGGACTGCCTGCAGGGAACCTGCATCGCACTGCTCAACTGTTAGGTGCGCGAAGTATTCAGTCACTGGCGTGTTGTTGCGGAGGAAGGACAGGTAGACGATAAGGTGTTTTCCGCGGCGACGGTCCGTGCTCTCGTCCAGCTGAAGGCCCAGGTAAGGACTCTCCAGGATGTGCTTCATCTGTTGAGCACGAAGGTAGACGACGAGTGTCTCTACCAACTGCGCGAACCCGTACCTGCAACGACCATACACAACATTATTAGAAACGGGTTTTAACAGGCGGGTCCCCCAAAGCATACCAACACGTACTCGCTGTAGTATGTGCCTGAGTCCTTCAGGGGCATGTCCGGCGTGCCCATTTCTGCCATGAACTGGACCAGCGACACAAACAGCACAATGGGTGAGTCACTCCTGCAAATGAAAATGACGGTTGCCAACAGTTTTGCCAAACGGTTGGCTTCCGCGTCACCGTTCTCGAAGTCGACAATAGTCTTCTAAGCCGCGTTCTTGTCGTCTCGTAGCTGTTGTCGGTCCACTGCCGCCTCATGCTTGATCGAATGCTGGTGTTTCCGCATTGTCTGACGTTGAATGTCGAGCCCACCCTCCCCGTCGCAGCCGTACTGGTAGCTGAGGTCTCCGTGCACCATGCAGATCGAGCATCGCATGCAGGGTTGACCCCATGAGGTCTGCGAGATGATGAGCCACGGGAAGTGCTGGAGCTATTTCTCCTTCGCCTTCTCCTGCCACTGCTCGACGGTCAAGGCGCGGGACTTCTTGCCGTCCTTGTCGGCGGCGACAGGGTTTGATGGGCCTGGACGAGTAAAGCGGGGGACGGTAGCTGGGGCGACACCTGGAGTGGGACGGGCAAAACTGAGAACGCGCTGTTTGAATTTGCCGTTCCCAACTCTAATGCGAGAAAAAAAGATCGCAGGTGCTGTGGTAGCCACAGATGCCGAAACGGGCGGGGGCGACGACTCAGCTTCAGCCGTGCTAGGCTGGGTCGAGGTCTCTGCCGCATCTGACGTGGCTGGCGAGGGGATAAGGGGATCGTTGTTGCAGGACGGAATGATGTTGGGGGGAGGAATTACAGGCGGAGGCGAGGCTACTGCGGCAGTTGTGGTCACTGGAATCGCGGCCGGAGCTTTCCGCGTTAAGAAATCTAACGCGGATACCAGGGGCGCCTCAGGTACCGCGGGTGAATTACGCTCAGGGTTGTCGGTTGAGGCGGGGGCGCCATGTTCGGCTAGCATTGTGTGGTGTGGTGAGACACATGAGGACGGGACGGGACGAATTGAAAGGGGGAGTGCAAGGTTGTCAAAGAAAGGCTTGGAGAAGAAGGGATGGGTGGTAGGGACTGTCTTGTCACGAACCGCGCCTCCCTGACGAGGGTTTCACGAAAGTGCAATGGCAGGTCCATGCATGCCTTGTTTGCTGTGCACCGACTGTCCTTGCATTCTGCCAGCGAGGGAGGGGGAAACTGCCTGGCAGCGGCGCCGACAACAGCTACCCGACAGATGCGTGGCAGCAACTGAGTCAGATGCGGAGTGCGCTGGCAGGAAGAATCCAAAGTTACCCCCCGAGCCCACACGCAATAATCATTACGCGTGAGCACACAGGCAACACATCGCTGCTCCACTGGCCAAGTGGGCCAGTTTGTCTCTTTCAGACAAAACTATACGCGATTTCTACTGGATCAGATCCCTTGCCATAACTCTCCTGAAAAAGCATATGAACATATAGCATTTGTCTGTGCTCTCATATGGCCTAAAAACAAAAGTCTGCCGCAACATATGAACTATTCATTTTGTGCCTGAAACTAAGACCAACAGACTAATTTAGTCTGCTAACGAGAGCCCTGCGCTAGACCGCGCCTTAAACCAGCTCTGATACCAGCTCTTGTACGTGCGCAGCCTTTAGTCTAGACTATGTTGACTATTTAGAGTCTTAGTAGCATGCATAGGAAGCTCTGGCTTCAACTGTGTGAGAGATTTTGCTGGAAAACGCCAAGGCAGAAAGTTGGAGTAATTTCATTGAAGAAGGCATACAAAAACAGAAAACACAAAGCAAGTTATAAGCAAAAGGATTTCTGATTTCGCCCTCGCGCCGCGCCTAATATCGAGCTGAGTTGTACTCGGCTCAATTTCCAAATCCAACCATGCATTGAACGCGCCTCAAGTTCGAATTTCAGACTTCCTTGGACGCGCCTTTGACCCGGCGTGACTTCTCTTCCCGTCGCTTGAAATCTCGACATTTCCACCGTGTTCTTCTCCACTTCTGCACACTTCCTCTCCTTCTCGTCATTTCCCATAGCAGGTCTCGCCGCTGCCGTGTTTCTTCTTCCACCGTCCCAACACAAGTAGCTTATCTTCTTCTAAGGTCCTCGCCTTCCCTTAGTCTCATCTCGTCAAGGTAGGTCCTTCTTAGGTCGATGTAGGTCGCTCCAGGTTGTGCTAGGTCGTGGTTAGCTAACCACCTTCAACAGAGGGTTGGAAATGACTTTTTGTCGGTGAGTGATTACTAAGCGTCTTCCAACATGGCCATGCCAATAGACACACCACTACATGCTATGACCCACATCATCCCATCCCATAGCACAGTCACTTCATGGCTAGACAGTCAATTCCCACCGTCTAATCTCATCACAACCTCCCTATGAGTACTCACTCGCACCTTTCCATGGTGCAGATTGTTGGAGAATCGAGATTCTGCCGCCCCAGCCCTTTGCACACAAGGAGCAGCAAGGGGGGAATGTCGGCGATGGATTGAAGGCTTCGCGAAATATCGGAAAGTTTCCCAACCAATCAGATTTCAGCCGAAGACTCGATACAGTTCAGAGCTGCCTCCAAACCGAAGTGTTGGGAGTTTCTACAGGTTTCTACACATCAGAATCAGCTATAACAGAAAAATCCAGAGATTTCTTATTCATGCACCTCATGTGGCTCTCAAGTCACTCAAGGTTCATGGAAGCTGGATTGTGACCAAGTTCCCAAGGAAGTTGCCTTGTCTAGCAACCTAGTTTGAGCTACCTAACTGCCTTGTTTGTGATGTTTAAGAAGGTGTGCTTTAGTGGGCTTGTACAACCTTGATCATAGTGAAGTTTTACCTCATCCAGTCAGTCCAGCAGCCCTGCTAAGACTTTCCAGCCAAGTTTCCAACCTTTCCAGCAGTCACAGCTACTCTGTTTTACAAGTTGGTATCAGAGCTCGTCGTTTCGATCAACCTAGCCCACCACGTTCCTATCCTAGAACTAAACGGACATGGCGGGAGACAATCCTTCTGGACCTGCACTCCAGCCAGCCGGAGGAGCTTCAGAGTCAACATCAGCAGCTACTGGATTAGTGGAAGCAGTTGCACCAGGCAGTTCTTCAACAACATACTCACCACTCACCTCCTTCATGCCTAAGCTTCACCTTCCCAAGTTCAACGGCAAAGATTTTCCAACATGGGCAACTCAGTTTGAGCTCACTGCATCCCTTCTGGATTTGTGGCCTTACTATACTGGAGAAGCAGCCAAACCAGCAGCAGATGCTTCAGAAGCTGAAAAACGTCAATACGAGCGGCGCAACAAGGAAGCCTTCCTCTACCTACTCAATAGCATTCACGAGCAGCAGTTGAAGTCACTCCTACCCTGTTCTACCAAGGCAAACAGTGCGGAGGAAGCATGGAGCCGACTGAAGTCTATGCACCAGTCAAAATCCGAGAGCAGCCAAGCTGAGATGTGGAGCCGCTTCATGAATTTGAAGATGGAAGAAGATGAATCAGCACAAGCATACCTTCAACGAGCTGAAACGATGCTGGAGGAAGCAGCAGCGATCGGCTTGGAGATCCCAGAGTCCCTTTTCAAAACCGTCATCCTCACTGGCCTTACACCGGAGTGGGACACTTTCCGTGCAACACTACAAGCGCTCCCGCAGTCAATGAAGTTTCGTGCATTCATCTTCGAAGCCCTTGTCAACGAGCAGCAGAGTCGAGACCTTGCACGGAACAAGCGGAGTGACGAAGGTGCGTGGAGTGCTGCAGCGGCAACACGATATGGCAACCAATTCCAGAGGCAAGGAAACTTCAGCTCAAACCGCCCTCAACCTTACTACGGTACGAAATTTCAGTCACCTTCCAATCCCTACAACCCCTCTCGTATTCCTCAGTCAAGTCATCCCCTTAAGCCAAGTCCTAATCTTCAGCCAAGGTCTTCCATTCCCAATCAATTTCAGTCTAGGAATGTGAGAGCAAATCCTTTAAGAGTCAATAATTTCAGTCAAGGG